GGGGGGGTTAGTTAGTCAGAATGGGGTCTCTCTCTCTTTCTCCCCCCCTCTCCCTCCCTCCCCTGCATGCGTGAGTGCTCGTGCAGATCTTTTCTCTTTTCTGAAACGGAAGGGCTCAATGGACCACGGATTAGATATGAAACTAATTGGAGGAGATACTACACGTGAGTTAGATTGGGGTTTCTCGGTCACATACACACACACATCAACTTTATTTCTCTCTCTCTGTCTCTCTCTCCCCCCCACGTGCGTGTGCCCTCGTGTGTTTTGTTTTGTTTTGTTTATTTGTTGATATGACTTGATGGATGATGGATCGGATATGAAACTGCTCAGAGCAGATACTGCACTTGATTGGGGGGGGGGGACATGGGGGGGGAAGGTGGCGTGCAGTTTGTTAGATTGTCTTCTCTCTCGCGCGCGTGCACACGCGTACGTTTTTTTTTCTTTTTCAAAAAGGTGTCGATGGACCACGGATCAGATATGAAACTGATCGGAGCATATACTACACTTCATCATGATGAGAGGGGGGGAGGGGGGGGCAGGGGGGGGGAGTGGAGCGGGGTGCGAGGTTAGTTAGTTTGGGGTCTCTCTCTCTCTCTCTCTCTCTTTTGCTCGCTCGCTCGCTTGCACACGCATGCCACTTTTTAGAAACTGATTGGGGCAGGGGGGGGTGTAGTTAGTTAGAATGGGGTCTCTCTCTCTCTCACCCTCTCTCTTCTCTCTCTCCCTCCCCCATGCGTGCGAGTGCTCGAGCAGATTTCTGTTTTTTTCATCTGAAAAAGGTCTTGATGTAGCACGGATCAGATATGAAACTAATTGGAGCAGATACTACACGTGAGTTAGATTGGGGAAGCTGTGGAGGAGGGGCAGAGGGGAGCAGAGAAGCTGTGCAGAAGGTGGGGAGGATGAGGAGTGGAGGGGCAGTGGAGGAGAGGTGCGGAGAAGCTGCGGAGGATCTGTGGGGGAGGGGGAGCGGGTGAGCGGAGTGGGATGGCTCTCTCTCTCCCTCTCTCTCTCTATGTGGAGTGCAAACACTGCAAAATAGCAAACTGTGTGCCAGGGTTATGAATCGTTTGATCTAAGTAACTCTGGCTTCTGCTTGTTGAGTAAATCTTTTGATCGAAGTAATCCTGAATTCTGTATGTTGAATGTTTTGAACATACCTGCGGCGCAAGTGTGCGGTGCACTGGTCACCGATGCGCGAAAAAAAAAGAACAAAAAAAAAGAAAGTGGCTGTGATGTGTGAGAACATGCGCGAACATGTGCGTGCGCTCTCTCTCTCTCTCTCTCTCTCTCTCTCTCTCTCTCTCTCTCTCTCTCTCTCTCTCTCTCTCTCTCTCTCTCTCTCTCTCTCTCNCTCTCTCTCTCTCTCTCTCTCTCTCTCTCTCTCTCTCTCTCTCTCTCTCTCTCTCTCGAGCAAATAGCTCCTTAACATTAATAAGAAAACTCCTGCGGATTTCTGAGAGGCCCCTGCAGAGAATTAGCAAGGCATACCCATGCTAGGGTCATGGCACGCCCAGTATATGTGGAGTTGATTCACATTAAGGTCCGTGTTTGAGCAGTTATGGGACCACTGAGCACATGATTTTCTGGGCAGGCCAACTCACCACGTGCTTTTCAGGGCTTCCCTCCAGTACTTCAGGGTTTCCCTCCACTACTCACCAAATGTGCAAAACTAGAACGAATGTTCTGCTAGAACATGGAACCATACGCCACCATATGTTTTGTCTTTTGTGCAAGTGGTGACGAGTGGAGCAAGGCCCTTAGGGCCACTGCTCGTAGGAAAACAAAACAAAAGAAAGAGAGAGCTATGGTAGTAAGTAGTTGTAACTTGTAACCCATAACTGCTGGAAAACAGACCTGACTTCGGATCCACAACATATATTGCTGGCCTGCTCCGCTCTCACACAAAATTTGTTGAACGTCTCTTCTTGAGATGTTGGGACCCTTGCAGATGCATTGCTGGGGTCCTTTGGGAAAAACACTATTCAACGAGGAATACGTGGCCCCAATTTTTTTCCTTCTGTGCCCTTAGATTTTTTAGTAGGGAGGGGCACCATTGGCTACCTCAGCCAGCCTCTGAGTTGTTTTTACCCTATTTATTGGGGTGCGCATGCATGCTTGTGTGCTATGCGCCGCACATGCGGAGTCCGCGCGCATGCGATGCGCCACAGGTGTGGTTTTGAATCTTTTGATCTCAGTAATTCCGACCTATCCTTTGTTGTTTCCCTGTGTTCGACTTGTCCTTTGTTTTGTTTTTACAGGAACATTTACTGTCTCGAACCTCGGGATGTTTGGCGTTGATAGATTTGATGCAATCTTAACTCCCGGCCAGGTATGCCTGACTCCCCCCCCCCCCTCTCTGGACCCTTCCTTTCGTCGCTTTGGACTCTGTTCCCTAATCGTACTGTACTAAGTCCTTTCGTCGCTTTGGACTCTGTTCCCTAATCGTACTGTACGTACTTTTTTCTTTTCTGTGCCTGCCTCCTCCTTGACCTTTTAAGGTAATTCTGTTGTATCAGTGCTCGGTCAATGCACTGTGTTTTCTGTGTCCTCGAGAATCGGTTGGATCCCAGGCTGCACGTCAAAGGAATGAATGCATGTCTTTCCCTTGTCTTCCTCTTTTTTCCTCCGCAGTTTTATATGCTGCGGTAGCTTGCAGATTGGTTAAGGAATTTTCTCCATCATGATGCAATCAAATATGGGAGATGCACATGCTCGGCTTGATTTGTCCGGGACATCCATGAAAGGTGGAACGATTTGGACAAGATTACTATGGTCGTTTGGGACATCCATTAGAAGTGGAACGAATTGGAGAAGATTAGCAATGGGCCCTTGGGACATCCATTAGAAGTGGAACGAACGATTTGGAGAAGATTTGCATGGGCCTTTTGGGACATCCATTAGGAGTGGAATAATTTGGAGATGATTAGACATTCACTAGACGTGGAACGATTTGGAGAAGATTAGCACGGCCCCTGTGCAAGGATAGAAATGGTTTAAATGAGTTGTAGCTATGGGTTAAAATGTAAGTTCAATTGTGAGGAATTTAAGTGTCCTGCATATATTTTGAAACTGTGGGTGAAATTTTGACGTAATTTCCACTTTCTCTCCTGGTGGTGCAGGGTGCTATTATGGCTGTTGGATCATCTCGGCCAACTGTTGTAGCAACGGATGATGGAATGTTCTGTATCAAGCGGCAGATGCAGGTAAGGTTCAGGACATCGATTCTTGAAACGGTATTTGCTATGTGTCTGGCTTTTGGCTTTTAATCATACTTGTGGCGCACCAGTGTGCAGTGGGGGGCGGGGCAGTGCGCAGTGCGCACGCTGCAGGCAGTGTGCCTGGTGCGCAAAAAAAAATAAAAAATGAAAAATCATTTATTTGCGGCCAAGAGAGAGAGAGAGAGAGAGAGAGAGAGAGAGAGAGAGAGAGAGAGAGAGAGAGAGAGAGAGAGAGAGCAAAAGTCCCCCTTTACGTCAATTCAGGGTCCCCTACAGGTAACTCAATGGCTTCGACAATGCACTTGGACATTGTGGAGACATTGAGGACCGTCGCTTTTAGCACGCACGATGGCCATGTCATATATGGGAGAGGTGGGAGCATACCACCAATATATGCTGTGGGTGCGAGTTCAGGTCTGTAGCTTGAGAGTTATGGGTCACCAATTCAGCTAGACCCTGTTCATCTCCACGCGATTCTCAGGGCCTATCTCCACCACTCACCGAATGTATAACGTTAGAATGAATCTTCTCCTAAAACATGGAACCATACAACGCTATATGTTATGTCTTTTGTGCATGTGGTGAGTAGTGGCGAGAGGCCCCTTGGGCCACTGTACATATTCATAAGAAAACAAAAAGAAAAAAACGAGAGAGCTACAGGCATCTTCTTAACCCATAACTGCCGACATGCAGACCTGAATGCCAAGCATGTATTGGTGGTCGGATGGCCTCACCAAACATATATTTTGACTTCTGCGAGCAGTGTGGGGCAGGGCATTATTGGGCAGTTATACCCTTCTTGCAAATGCGTCCACCTCTTCAGCATATATTGGTGGTTGGCTGGCCTCACCAAACATATTTTGTGACTTGTGCGAGCAGTGTGGGGCAGGGCATTATTGGGCAATTATACCCTTCCAAATTCACCCACCGCCGTGTAGGATTTGCAGAAGGGAGGGGGAAGGCCAGTTACCACACCCCGCCTGAAACAGAAAACTCGAATGAGGCTCAATGAGCCCTTTTTTCATGTTCCATGATTTTGAAATTTTTGGGGGAGGGGCGTCCGGAATTCAAAATTTGGCAGCCCTTGCCTCCCCAAAAAAATTCGGGCCAAGGGCACGGATGGTGTTTTTTTGTGCAGTGAGTTTAACATTTTTGCCGGGGTGGGTGCTGTAGGAAATTATGAAACCATTACTGTTTTGTTTTTTGGGACCTTAATTTTCCTGGTGCTGTGTGTGGTGCGCTGCGCGTGCACCGATGTGCGCTGCAACTATGCTTTTAATTGATTGTGCGACATGTATCTGGCTTTCATTTTTATAGATGGTGTGCTATCTGTGTGTGAGTGGCCCACTTGCCCATCTACCGGGTAAGTTAGCTTTGTTCACTCCAGCTGAAGACGAAGCAACGTATGAGCCAACAGGCCAACCGCCAGCATCTCCCTTGTCCATTCCACGCCGGCTACTTCGTATGGGTCTCGTGGAGTTCAGCCTCGAGCAAGACATCTCTCGCAAGCTCCTTCCTAAATGGATGGGGCCCTGGCCCATTGTGGCACCCACTGGGGATGCACGCGAAAGACCCTCTTGTCATTCGGGTGCCTGCCCACTTGCCCGTTTACCCGGTCTTCCATTTTTAAGTTAGCTCTGTTCACTACAGTGCAATGCGATGACGCTTGAGTGACGATCGCAAGACCCACCCTCTATGGATGGCTTTCAAGGGGTTTACGGAAGCTCCCAGCAGCATTACGGCAACAGGCATTAGAGTACTTCGTACATTTCGCCTATTGTAGCCATAAGGCTGACCGATGGTTGCCCGTGTGGAACTGCAGGCAATAGTGCTCGATGTTCTCACACGTTGCAAACGCAAGTTACAAGGCAAGCCGGTACCTTCGGCTCCACATCGTACTCGCGTCCAGGTTCCTCCTTCGGATCGTCAGCTGCGCCCTCGACCCGGCCACTTCGTAAGGAGGGGGGGGTGTTACATGCTGAGCCTGCACACAGGCCCCATTTCCAGTGCCCGATGGTTGCTGAGGGGCGTCCAGGCTGCGTGCCCACCAGACACTCGCTCGGGAGGCCCACGACAGCCCTCAGGCTGCAGGTACGGATTAGCGACAGCATTTATTTATTTATTGTGCTGTCGTATTTTTGTCTGTTCAGATGTCGTTTTTTTTCAAACTTGCAGGCCCCAAGGCTATGTCTTGGGCTGGGTACACCAGTGGCAGGGTTTTGAGGCCAGGTGCGCTTAGGCGCCTTGCTGAATCAGCAGCACGGTCTGGATGCCCGGTAGGGGCCCAGACCGAATGGGCTGTTTTGGGCCAGAAGGCACGCCCAATGCTACTTATAGCTGGGCTACCGCTGGGCACACACACAGTTCGAGTAGCTCACTTCTTGGGCGACATGCTGCTGGACCAGCGCGGCACGCTACAGTGCTGTGCGAGGAGGAGGTTAGAGGTAGAGGCTAGGTATGCAGAGCGGTGGAGGCCATACCTGCAGTGGGGAGCTCACCTGGTGCCATAGCTGGGACTCCACGACGGCGACCTGCACATGACGGCGACGGCGACGATAGTCAGTCCCAGGCCACTGCTACCTGCAGGTGAGACAGTGAGGAGGATTTTTGCCTTCCTTCTTCGCCCTCCGTCTCTCCTCCCTCCGACCATCTTCTTCTTTGTCTGACAGAGAGAGAGATTACTGGTAGACAGTACATCGGGCATATGTCCATGCTGTGATTTGATATTTTGCGCCAGACATTGATTCGACACTCGGCAATGGACGAGTTTTTGGACTTCGCTATCGCAATTTTGGTTGTCTCCCTCACCGCCATCTTCGTCTCGCCTCCTTCCCCCATCTCTCATCTGCGGTACCTACCGGTAGGGTTTCTTGGTACCTCACCAAGAAACCGACGGCTTGACATTGTCCTACCAGACCGACGGCCCGGATTATTTGCCTGTTGGAGAGGGCCATGGTACCTACCGATGGTTTCTTGGTGCGGTACCTACTGGTAGGGTTTTGTGTTCGGGAAAATATGTTCCCATAGGCTGATGTAACTACTTTTTTGGCGGCGTGTACTGTTTTTGGGGGGGTGTTGCATATTCGTGAAACACAGTTAAAGTATGGCGCAGATTCCCAGAACCAACCAGATAATACAGAGTTAATACAAATACAGCGGAAGAGTTGATACCCATGGACTGACTCTGACCTGACTCGGACTGAGATTGAAAACTCTCAATCATGCATCGGTGGTGTGAAGTTGGTCTTGGACATAGAAGAAAGGCCAGGGTCTGAGATCGTACATGGACGGATGGAGGGAGAAGAGAGACGAAGGGAGGATGAGATGAAATCAGATCCCAAGAGTAGTCCTCAACCTACAGTCTCAATGTCGCTGTCTCCAGTGTCATCAGAACTCGTCACCATCCTTGATACTCGTCCCGTAGGAGCATCCGGGAGTTTAAGGTAGGGGAGAGAGAGAGAGAGAGAGAGAGAGAGAGAGAGAGAGAGAGAGAGAGAGAGAGAGAGAGAGAGAGAGAGAGAGAGAGAG